GAGAATGACGTCAAAACACAGAGAGGAAGAGATGGAGAATCCTAGCTTTGTTTGCAGCCCTGAAGCTTGCTGCACCCCTATGCTTCTCCCTGAATGATTAGATGAGCCAATAAAGTCCTCTTTTTGCCCAAGCTAGTAGGTTTCTGTCATTTCTGGACAAGAGTCCTGGCTAATACAGAGCTGACGTTAAGTTTTGTTTTGTAATGTCTAAAATATTATCTTCAACCATAAGCAGAAAAGTCTACTGGAAAAGAAATACCTTGAGGCACCATTCTCCAAAAGAGCAAAATCTAAGATATATGAGGTTACAGAGAAGAAAGGCCTTAAAGATAACATACTGAGCAGGATCTTACCATCTGAATTAGGTACAAATCCCTTACCCATTCTGTACCACAGAGGCATCCATAAATAAAGATAATACCTTAACTATCTTATGGAAATTATGAAATAAGGTTCATAAGGTACTCTGAGCAACTGGAAAATAGTATTTTTTTAAAATCTAATGTATATAGTGTATCACATTTAGGCTCAGTGAATTTAGACAAATTTCTTAATATTCCTATTGCTCAATTCCTTTTCCTGTAAAATGGGAGTCATTATACCTTTAAGGGGTTGTTGATAGAATATTAGCAATCATATATGTGAAGCTGGGAGAGCACGACTCAACTGAAGACGATACTGCCAGACAAGGAGAGACTGCCAACTACCCAGGCATCTTTGCAGGGGTTGATAGACATTTTGAAAAGGGGGCTTGTGTGGGGGAAGTTTTCTGCAGAGATTGTGGGCTTGTATGCTGGGGGAAGAGACAGGAGAGCTGAGCTCAATGAGAGATGCTGTGGTAGTGGGTCCCGACCCCAGCCCTATGGACCAGCCCCTGTGAGAGGAGAGGCAGGGATCCTGTGCTCTGTGAACACAGCACTATTTCGGCAACTTAGGAGTTTCACAGTTTGGGACCATCTAAGCAGGGCAGCGTTCTCCTACAGGAACAGCGGCAGCTACAACAGTGGAGCCCAACAGAAGCCTGCGGGGAGTAAGCTGCACCCAAGAGTTAAGCTTGTTGGTGAATCAGTGAGGAATCCCTAGAACTTCCAAAAATACTTGAGGGGTCTGTGGTCCTGCCTGATGTGATGGAATCCTGAGTCAGCAAAATTTGGGTGTAAAAGTGACTCTATTCATAAGAAGACAGTGTTGATCCTTGAATAGTTAGGTTCCATATGTAACAAGATTTGGCACCAAAACATGGGCCCAATAACTGGCTTTAAGATATCATCCTAAGATATCCCTTTGTAGAATTCTAACCACACCTCAGATCAGCCAGGTGGACGGTACAGAGCTTTGAGGACGAGGTTGCATGATTGCCTCTGTGTTGGTTAAAAGCAACATTAACTGATTAAGCATTTAGACTTGCTGAGAGTAGAATAGTTTACCGACTTAGATGTGCCCTCACCTCGTTCTGTCAAGAAGCTGAGGGGGCTCAGCAAAATTATCTGCCCCCAGGGTACCTCTATGCATCAATTTTCAGGTAAATATTAATGTACTTTGACTCACAATAGCATCATCTACATTTTACATGACCAAGTTGAATTTTTCTGGAATCAAAATAAAGCATCCAATATTGTATAACAGCTTTTGTGCCATTCTAATATTCTGTTATCAAACATACCACTAATGACCAAAAAGTGTACTTACATAAACCTCACGGGGCAGGAATTACAAATTCATGTCACATGGGTTTTAAAAGTTCATAAATTTAGTAACCAAGTAACCAAAATACTACAACAAAGGAAAGAAAACCAAATAGTCTAGAGTCTCATTCTGAAGGTTCTTTTTCAAGGAAAATTTCGACTTGCTCATCATTTTCCAAGTCTTCCCTGAATAATGATGCTGACATTTAGTGAGTTTTCTAACACACTACATGAGTCACAGTGGCACCCCAAGATGTACCCCTTAGGTGAGTCACAGTGGCACCCCAAGATGTACCCCTTAGGTGAGAACTGGACTTTATGAGGAGTGTCATAAAGTTTGCCTTAGGAAGCATTTGTGCTTGTGAAGCCCCACGTGGATTGCTCCAGGAGCAGCTGAGCTCCAGCATCTGCATGGATGCGTAGACCACAGGAGTTGCTTCTCTTCTCGAAGCCCTTGCAGTTTACCAGTTCTTGGCAGTAGCATCGTGACTTCTATGATGGCAATCTACTGGATGAGTGCAATGTTAGAATTGTTGTCACTGATTCTTCCTGTTTTGTTTTCTTCCTGCATTAAAGACTTGATAACATAAACACTGAGGATCACATGTATTGTTCATGAGCTTTTGTCTTCAGTGTACACTGGGTAATAGCCACAAGAGCTTAGGGAAAGAGGTAATAGCCATCCTGGTGATTATGAAGAGACAATTCCCTGCTAGGTTGCACCGTGATAGCTACTGTTAACTGTGGCTGTACCTGTACAAGAAAGTGCAGTCATTTTATTGAAATTTGGTATTGTTTTAGCAAAATGTCTGTCAATTTTGGAGCTCAGTTTGGAACACAGCACATTTTTACCCACCTACGGAAATTAATGGTAATTATGCTTTTGACAAAAGCGAAGTCAGGTTTATTTTCAGAAAAGAACTACCCTTTTAAGACAGAGGAAGATGAACTCATTTAATCCTTACAACAACTCTAAGAGGTAGTAACTCTCCATCGTTAAATATTTATTTAGCACTTACTACGTTCAGGTACTCTCTGTGTATTAACTAACCTAGTCATTTCAAGAACTCTGGGTGAACACCATTGTCAACCCCTTTAATAATAAGGAAACTGAGGCACAGGGAGATTAAGTAGTCTGGCCAAACTAAAATTAAATGACGAGAATCTGTTTTATAAAACAAAGAGTGCCTACTGTAACATTTCTAACAACACCTACCAATTACTGAGTGCCAAGCAATTTAAATACAGTATCTCATTTAATTATTTCAACAACTCTGTAAAGCAGCTATTCTTACCCTAATTTTACAGATGAGAAAACTGGTGCATACAGAGGAGAAATAACCTGCCCCCCCAATCATATGGCTGGTTAGTGACAAAGCTGAGATTTGACTCTGCGGGTATCTAAACCTGTGCTTTTGACCAGGTCAGGGGTCCAGCACGGTAGAATTACAGGTGGGAAGGAGCGATGGCATTTTTGAGCTTAATAAAAGGGAGCATTAATTTTTTTTTTAAGGCCACAAATATTTTACTATATTATACAGCTTCCAGTGTAGCAAATAACAGAAATAAAGGTAAATAATACCTTGGAAATTGGTCTCTATATCATAGCCAATGGTACAACAACATAAGAAACACAAGGGAGGTTTTCTAATGCTTTTTATGACTATATTTATAACACTTAAAAGCAGTTCAAACTGAGATGAAATGCATAGAAAAATTTAGGGCTAACAAATGCCACCCTTTCTCTGCCTTGTTTGTAATACAGTGCGCATGTGCCCCGCTGTGGCTTCCATTGAACCACAAATGACAGGTTTGTCATTCCCTGTAACGGCTTACTAAGGGAAGTTATGGAATTCCTTCTCTGATTCTACAAACAGTTTTTCATCTGATAGCGTGGCTTAATAGTGGTCCTTTCTGAAATTAGATGGATTGACTAGATGACCTTTCCAAGTTTCTCCTAATCCTCAAATATGAGGTAGGTATGCCAATAACACAAACCTTTAAAAAAAAAAAACGTAAAGGAATGCTTGCTAAAATAATAATCAAGAAATTCGATTCTACATAGGAGGGTAAGTCACAATGAAAGCTGACATACTGTGTCAAATATTCTCAGAATAGAATATGTTTGAAAGTTCTAGAATGACATTTTGTGCAATGGAGAAATTTTATGGTTAGAAATAATTTTATTCAAATGTACACAGTTATAACTACCATCAAATAGTGTAAAATATACTCAAAGAATTAACTAGAATGGGTGCTTTAAAGACGATCATAAAATATCACAAGAGCACAATGGTAGTAATAAGATCATGGGAGAAAACTGAACCTTTTATAAGGTCTGTACAGCTTCACATACTCATAACTTTAACATAATAATAATAATGGCAAGAGGACTCTCAGTATTTCCCATGTACCATCATGACAGCAAAACGATTTTCCTGAGTTATATCATTTATCCTCATCAACCCTCTAAAGTTAATATGTCAATTCCATTTTACCAGGGAGGAAACTCAAACTGAGAAAGGTAGGTTATTTGTCCAAACTCACACAGCCAATAAGTACTTGGTCTGGGTTTAAAGTTTAAACCCACCAGTCCCAGCGCCAGAACCCAAGCCCTCAATCACTGTGCCATGCTTCCTCCAGAGGACAAAACTTGTTCCTCACCATCAAGAATAAAGTAGATTTTTAAGATGCTAATATGAAGTCAAATGGCCAAGAAGGAAGAGAAGCAAAAACCTTTGATTACAACCCACCTTATTTGTGGCTGATTTCCCCAGTTCCCTTTGGGCTCTCCTACCTACCGTGGGGAGTCCGCAAGTCGAGACGACAGACTGTAAAACTGTGTTCACATCCCTACACTCCAACTGTTTTGTTACTCGTGTACATGGCCATTTCAGAAATTCCTAGGTAGTCTGGCATACTAAATGTCGATCACGATTTTCAGCTCTTAGAAACCCACTGTGTATTATTCTAGCCTAAAGTAAGACTTCAAAAATGTGGTCACTCTTGCTTACATTTTCTCTGGAAACTCAGAGAATAGAGGATCAAAGAAAGCGTTTTAAGGTACATGATCTTTTTCTGTCCTCCTCAGCTTTCTCTGCTCGTGACTGATGAGAAGACACCATCCTACAGGCCACCGTGTATAAGAACAGAAAGAAATGGAGCTGAGTAACGTACAGCAGTTACCTTACAAATGCTACTGACTGCCTGACCTTTGCCATCCGTATCTAACGCTCTTCCACTTTCCAAGCGCAGTTCACAGATAAGGAGGCCGAGGGTACCACCAGAGAATTACTGAAAATATAAGCATGCAAGTGACTTTTAAAATTAAAATACTTTATTAAAATGAAGTGCATCCTATCCAATAACTTTATATGTATGAAAAGATATATAAAGTTATTGGATAGGATGTATTTCATTAGTCTCTGCTTTTAAAAGCTTTCAACAACAGGTCTGCTGCTAGTCCTGGGGACAGGGCCCCCCTGAGAACCCTTTTTTCCAGAAGAGGAATCTGTTCCCGGACTGTGGGGTGGGTCCTGAAATGTTCTACCACATTTTCCTGAATGAGGTTCCACATCCAAACTTTCTGCTGCTTCTGTCTCTTGGCAGTCAGCTCCCCACTGGCAAGCATCACATCCTGGAATTCTTTCATTGTATCCCACATTTCAGTGATCCCCTCTCCACTTCTGGCAGAAATACGAATTACCTGTTGAAAAGGGAAGAACCAGAACTATTTTACTTAAAACGATAGGAAACATTGTCATGGGGACTCTGGCATTTGCCAATTAAGTCTTACAGTTTATGGCAATAGGTAGGCGACAAAAATGAGACATTTTATCATCGTGTCAAAGTAGACACGCTGAGAAATATACTAAGGTAACTTACTAAGGTTACTGAGTGCGAAGCAGAAATAAGACACTGATCCAAGGTCGTATCTTTTAGCTCAGAGGTTTATTTTGACTGGGGATTGCTCGAATGGTCTTCAGAGACCACAGGGATGAACTGGGAAATGGTCACTAGGATGAGAAGGGCAATGCTACGTAGGTTTCCCTGAGGCCTGAGAGCCAGAAAATGAAACCGAGCTGAGAGAATAGCCCCGTTCCCTCCGTCAAATTGCCTGGTTCAGCAGGTGCTATGAGCATGGGTATCTGCATGGACTAGACAGCTCCAGACGCAGCACAGACAACGTGCCGGGAGCCGACAGCAAGAAGTGTCATCGTTGTTCTCGTTATAGTGATTATAGGTTACTCTTTAATAACACAGGGCCCTGCTACAGATAAAATGTCCGCATCAGTATTACTGCATCACTTACTACAGGTTTTTTTTTTTTCCTTATCGAAAACATCACCCGACAACCATAATGGGAAGGAAAGTTACCACATCAAAAGCCTGTTCTCTCCTACTCAAACTCTAACCTAGATAGTCAAGTCATTAATTGCGCCATAATCTTCAGGATGGTTCCTTGCAGAACGGATTTGTCATCACATCCAAATGGCTCGAGCCAAGCGTTAAGCAATCAAATGTATCGCCTCACATCTAGTTTTTGGCATCTAGTGGTTGAAGGATTATACTTAAAATCATAACTACACACTCTGTGGCTTTGCCATAATTTAAAAAATTATAATCTCACCTACGAGCAAGGATTGATTATATGTCTAGCTTGGGACTCATATCCTCTCTTCTAACGGGCAAAGTCGACTCAGGGTGAAAACTGTAGAACAGAATGCAGGCTGACCTTTGGTCTCCAGACTCCTGAACGCCTGCGGAGTAATTTCAGCGCGCTCACATACTCTGCTTGTATCCTTCGAGCTGGCACGACCAAGTCTCCATCAGATTTGGTTATAGCCACCAGATCTGCCATCTCAATTATACCTCTTTTAATACCCTGGTGAGAAAAAGAAAAGAAAGTGATTCATCTGAAACATTTCATGCCATCAAAAATGGGACACCAGTTACTGCTAAGGTTTTGAGAGTCATATGCTCTAACTTTTTCTCTGCACCCTCCCAAGCCCTGGGCCCTAGGAATCACAATTATTGACAGAAATCACTCAAAAGCACTGACTCTTGGGATTATGGAAGTCATCTGTAATATCTCTTTCAAATTTGGAGACTAACACGCTGAAATACATTCAGAATTAGAGTAAATATATCATCCAGACACAATATGATTGAATGGCAGGAGACAGTTCACACTGCCTCATGACAGATTCCACTTCTCGGGAGCTAACCCTGCAGGATGCAAAACCATCCATCATTCAGGTGCTTAAAAAAGAAAACACCTACGTCACTAACATGTTCATTTCCAGAAAGAGTCTTTGAAGTTTTCCTTAAATGTATGTAGCATTTTTTTTTGATTTGCATTTGAGGAAAAAAATAACCTGATGGCTAAAAACGCCTCAATCTCTTGATTTAAATTATGTTGCGTGAAAACACTAGAAAAATCCTAAGGCCAAACCTTATTTGGAAAATGAAGATTCTGCTATCTAAGATTAAAATTTCTTTTCAAATATTTTAAAACGTAACTTTCAGTGGTTAAATTCTAATAGTTAATGTTTCTAAACTGCAGCATCCAGAGTCTGATGTCACTAGTTTTTCAGAATTTTTCAACTGAAGGGGAGGTGTTGTGTAATATAGAATTTGGAGGCTTCGCTGGTGGCGCGGTGGTTAAGAATCCGCCTGCCAATGCAGGCGACACGGGTTCAAGCCCTGGTCTGGGAAGGCCCCTCATGCCGCGGAGCCACTAAGCCCGTGCACCACAACTACTGAGCCTGCGCTCTAGAGCCTGTGTGCCACAACTACCGAAGCCTAGAGCCTGTGCTCAGCAACAAGAGAAGCCACCGCAATGAGAAGCCCGCGCACCACAATGAAGGGTAGTCCCTGCTCGTCACAACTAGAGAAAGCCCGTGTGCAGCAACGAAGACCCAACGCAGCCAAAAATGAATAAATAAATAAATAAAAATTTAAAAAAAAAAAAAAAAAGCATTTATCTGGTCTTTGTCCCAAGGTTCCTGGGAGGAAACTGCTAAATCCTTGGAGTTTCCTGAGTGATAGCAGTGACTTTGTTGTTCGCCATGGGTGCCTGGGACCATGCCTGGGTTTATGCACGATCACTCAGAATGGGGGCTGAGCACACACCAGTAGAACCAACCACGTGATTAGAGGGTAGGGTCTTTGAGCCACACACTAGCAGCCTGACCTCCTCTGGGGAGGGCGGGGGCTGGAGACTGACTTCAATCGTGTGGATAGTGATTTGGTCAATCATGCCTACATAATAAAACCCCAACAAAAGCTGCAGACACTGAAGCTCAGGAGAACTCCTTGGCTGGTGAATACACATGCATGTGCCAGGAGGGAAATGTGTCCTGAGGACACAGAAGTTTCGAGTTTGGGACCCTTCCAGACCTCTCTCTCTGTGTCTCTTCATTTGGCTGGTCCTGATTTTCATCCTTCATAATAACACTCTAGCTGGTACCGCAGTGCTTTCCTGAATTCCGTGAGTCATCCTAGTGAACTGTCGCACCTGAGGGGTAAGTGGGAACCCGCACATCTGCGGGTTCCCACAGAGGCATGGGTGACTTGGGAACCCCCGGGCCTGCTGCTTGCGTCCGGAGTGAAAGCAGTCTTGGGAGGATGATGCCCTCAGCCTGTGCAGGCTGTGCTAAGTCCAGGGAGTTAATGCCAGACTGCGCTGCAGGAGGAAAGGAAGAACCCTTTCTACAGTGTATAAACTACGACAGTGGGATCCCAGTTAAAAGCAAAGGAATATCTCATGAGGACCTTTCAACCAGCTGTAGCACAAACACCCATGTAACAGTGGTCTCTTGGCTGGAGCTATCCCCCATGTTACAGGTGGAAAGACTAAGCTGTGTCATTAGCTCAAGGTCATAAGTTCTACTACTATAAGTTGGAAAAAAAAAATAGAGAGTTTGCCTTTGACTCGAGTATTTTAGCCAACGTGAATGATGTTTCTTTCCCTACGCTAATATCAACTTAATTTACAAAAAACCCACAACATGGGGAATTTGTACTTTCAGAGATGTACACTTTGTGTTTCGGGGGGTGAAAAAGTCAAAATAATTACCTGCAATTCATCTCCTCCTGCTGGTGGCAGTAGTAAAACAAACATGTCAACCATGTCGGCAACAGCAAACTCCGACTGCCCCACACCTGGAATTTTAAATCACGCGTGTATACTGAAACATTCACGGGAATTTGACCTCCTCGACTCCCCTGACCACCACCTCCGCTCCAGTTCATCTGCTCATACTTGCCATCACGCACTCGACCTGACCCCGCTCTAACCACCACCTCTGAACAATGTATTAAACGCCGCTGCCTCGCCTGAAGAGCAAAGCTGGGGTCCTCCCCACCTCTGTCCAGCCCCCGCTCCCACCAGCGCGGTCTCTGACCAAGTGGAGAACGTGAAGACCTGCGCTCTCCCCTCACTCTCGCTGCTCTTTCTCGGCTCCCCTTTCGTGGGTGAGCAGCTTGAGCACCTGATTCTAACCTGAGACCATGTCTGGCAGCTTCCTTACCTTCTTATCCCTCTATCACCCTGCAAAGCCCACCCGTGGATCAGTCCTACTGCCCGTGTCTCTCCTCCATTAAGTGTCCTGGAGAAATCCCTCAGCTGTGTGGACAGGCGCCACCGGAGGGTCATGGGCTCCAACATCGGCTACATCTTCCTCTTGGTACAGGAAAAGCGATGCCCCTGAACGCCTTCGGGCAGCTTCCTTCCTGTTTCCCACAGTGGCTACTACAGACGTTCACTGTCCCATAATCTCCCCACATGACAATGATTGATGACCGCGGCACCTGCTTCACGACCAAACAGAGGCAAGGACGTCCTCAGCCTCCCCCCACAACCCCACAGAGAAGCAGAAACAACACACACTCCGCCCTGCTGCCTCCTCGCCGGGCCCAGTGTCAGAAGCATCGACTGAAGACTGGCCTCTCCTTCCTTCCCACCTCCCCTGGGCTCTGGCTCTGCTTTATCTCCAACCTCCCCTTGTCTACAGGCTCCCGTCCCTCCCCTCAAACATCCCATGAGTTGGGCTCAAGTCTTTCTCATCTGAAAACCAAACACAACCAGAAAATAAGAAGACAAAAACTCCCAAACTCCTGCCCTCATCACCGCGTTTCTCACTTCCTCTTGATAGCTAAATGTCTGGAAAAAGGCAACTTATGCCCACTGTCCTCACGCGACTACTTCACATTAACCGCAATCCACTTAAATCTGACTTCCACATGCCCCACTCCACTAAACCTCCTCTCCAACTCTCTCCTTCCTTGGTGGGGCAGAGACTTCTGGTTGCCCACGCAATGTTCATCTTTCCCTATTTCCTTCCCCCAGGTTCACCAGGGGCATCAGTGTCCCAGGTGAAAGACCACATCACCAGACCCCCCAGAGACCCCCCACATCACCAGTCAGCCAGAGATGTTAATGTGTGAAAGCAAAAGTCACTAGATGGCGTTTCCAGGAGAGTTCTTTCAAGAGGGCAAAGCCAGCCAGGAGGTATACTGCTTCCGACCCCTTCCCCTTCCTTATTCCCCCTTCTTCCTTCCTTCTACCTGGAACAGGGAGGTGAGTTAGAGCTTCATCAGCTGTCTTTTATCCATGGGCAACCTTGAGGCTGGAAACTAAGTGCTAAGAATGGAGAGCAGGGAGAGCCCCCAGGGGCGCTGTAGAACCACCACGCCCTCTGGGCCTGCCTGCCTCCAGGCTTCTTTTATTTACAAAAAACACAAATACACAAACAAACAAAACCCACCCTCTTCCTTGTTTGAGTCAGAGATAATCTGAGTCTCTGAAACATGCAGCCAAACACAACTTTCCATTAATATGTGTAATTTTATGGTCCTCTTCCCCATTGATTCTCCTACCACTACTCAGGCAACTTTTCCTCCATCTGCCCTTAGACGAGGGACTCTTGGACTCTAGCCCATGTCTTCACTCCCTGCCTTCGTGCTCCATGCTCTAAGGATCCTGCGCAAAATGCAGTGCCCTGACTGGGCCACATTCGCTCACTCCTGTGTGTTTCGGTCAAGGCCCCTTAGCCCATACTTTCCTTAACTCCAACCCTCCCTTCAAAACTGAGTTCAGGGGCTTCCCTGGTGGCGCAGTGGTTAAGAATCCGACTGCCAATGCAGGGGACACAGGTTCGAGCCCTGGTCCGGGAACATCCCACATGCCGTGGAGCAAATAAGCCCATACGCCACAACTACTGAAGCCTGCGCACCTAGAGCCCGTGCTCCGCAACAAGAGAAGCCACTGAAATGAGAAGCCTGCTCACCGCAACGAAGAGTAGCCCCCACTCGCCACATACTAGAGAAAGCCCGTGCGCAGCAACAAAGACCCAATGCAGCCAAAAAAAAAAAAAAAAAAAAAACTGAGTTCAACTGTCACCTCCTCCCTGAAGTCTTCCCTGATCCCCCAAATCTGAATCAGGTTGTGTCACAAACATTGATCACACAGTAATATAACAAATTGTCTCTCCACAGGAATGTGAAGTTCTTGGGGTTTCCTTTTCAGTATTTTCATTGTGTGTAACCACGTGCTAGGGATATAAAGGTGAAATAAAACATGAGGTGCCCAACTACGCTAATCTTCTCAGTGAATACTGCAGACATATGACTCTGCTTAAATAAAATGGGTGTTATGTTAGTGTTTCCATAGGTCATCCTAATGCTGACAGTTTCTACAGCACTGAAAACATACCACCTTGTATAACAGTTATCCAGACACAGGGCTCACCTTTCTTTTCTTTAAGGGTAAGGATTATAGTCTATATACTCATATCTCCTACAGAGTCTGAGATAGCTTATATTTAATTACCTCTTTAGTAAGTATCTGCTGAATGAACAAAATGAAATTAGCCGTCATTCCTCTTTATACAGCTTTCATTTTAATAGTATTTTATTGTTATAGAATAGAAAATCACACTCACCCACGGTTTCAATAAGAATTATGTCATATCCACCTCCTTCGCACAACAGAATAGCTTCATTTGTAGTCCTTGTCACACCTCCTAAAGTACCTCTAGTAGGAGATGGCCTGATGTATGCATTCATATCTCTTGATAACTCAGTCATTCTGGTTTTATCACCTAAGAGTGATCCTAAAACACACAGTTACATTTTATAATCATGGAACACCTATAAGGGCCAATTATCAATCAGCCAATTCCTAGGGGAAATGCTTCAGGACATTTCTCCCCAAACCTCAAATTGTATTTCATATTATTAAGCTTTTTTCCAACACCATGTATGTAATGATGCCAAATTAATCTATTTAATGTTTTAAGCCCCTCAACACCTATAATGGCTCCCACTGACTAGAGGTTCAAATCTAGATTCTTCAGTCTTGCATTGGAGGCCCTCAGAATGTAGCCTACCTTACCTGTCCAATTTCAGCTTCACTAATCCCCAAATCAATCTTCCATTCCAGTTGGGGTGGTTTCTTTACTGTCCTCTTAACGTTGCTGTGTTTATGGTTCTCAGCTGGGAGTGATTTTTTTTCCCCCAGAGGATACTTAGCAATGTGTAGAGATATTTGTACTTGTCACAACTGGAGGGAAGGGTGTTCCTGGCGTCTGGTAGGTAGAGATCAAGGATACTGCTAAGCATCCTTCCATGTGCAGGACAGCTGCCCACAACAAAGAATGTCATTAGTGCCAAGGTTGAGAAACTCTGCTTTAACTGAGTTGCTTGTCTATAGGACCATGTCTTACATATTTTGTACACTGAATGCTTGTTCACAGTAGGCAATTAATGTAATGCCTGTGGAATAGAACCGTTGCTGTTTCCGTGTGTACTGCAGTATTCTGGCAAACACCAGTACCTGCAAATTCTAGAAGACTGAAAGCCCCGGAATTAGTGAAATTACCTTTACCTTCTCTCCTTTAGCCATGTAGTAACATCTGAAGGTGTAGTGCTGTTCTAACCTGAATTTTAATTTCTGCTCAAGAGCTAACCTTTCCAAAGCTGCTGCTAAACACTGAGGAGTCCCTTAAAGATACAATCGTTTCCCTGGTGATTCCAGTTTTGACTTCTCATAGGTTCTAATGCCCAGCATACACCTACCACAGAGCTCGACTACCTTATTTCCTGTACATAAAACTTTGTTCTAAAGTAATTTTCTGGGTGAAATCATCTCTGTGTAAGTCAACAGTCTGCCAAAGCTACACTTTAAATTATTATCCTACAGATCCTAACACACCGAACTAAAACATTTATGAAATTACTCTCCCATATAATTGTCTTTGCCAGTGAATCTAAAACTGGTGACTGCAGAGCCTTAGGGAGGTCTCCAAGCTCCCACTGCAGGGGGCCCGTGAGTCCAAAGCACAACAAGGATTGACTACAGGCTTCTCAAACTTCAATGGAATGCTATTTTCAACTGTATCTACTGTTAAAGTGAAAAGGTAAGAATGTCCTGTTTATCCTTGCACAGTTTTTTCTTTCAGAGTCTTTGTATTTTTACCTGAGAAAAGGACCTTCATTTTTGGTTTGAGAAAGGTTAGGAACCACATAGCTGTGTAACTTCCATCAGGTTATCTTATGTCACCATTTCCACTACTCTTATCTCAAACTATTATTTTCTTTCGCTATTGCAAGTATTCTAGAGTATTATGAAGGTGGGAGGAAAGTCTCTGCACCTGTGTGAAAATGAAGGCCACTATAAATAAATTCTTTGTTCAAGTGCTTACCTTTCACAAAGTTCTTAGACTATAAAAAAGGATAATACACTGACATGGATTTAATCTTGAACTTTGCGAGTATAAATTTTACTTTACGGTTAACCCTTTCATTATAGTGAATCAAAAACTGTGAATGTTCTCAGCTAAATTTCTCAATGGATGGTAACAGGAATTGTTGTCCACCTCTCTATTGACCTAAAGCCCCTGAAATATGATATTGTATTTATTTTTTAGCATTAAACCCACATGATATGAACCAAACCCTTCCACAAAACGCCCTGTATTTCCCCCTTCGCAACACACATTACATTGTAATGGCCTGCATGCACCTGTCTGTTTCCCTCGTGAGATAAAGCTCCATAAGGCCAAGAGAACTGCATCTTATTCAACATTAAACAACACAGTACCTTTTTTGTACAGGGCCTCGCCTACGATAGGTGCTGAAATACTTGTTAAATGAATAACTGTCATGTGAGATGCTTCAATCATCAAGAGGGGTAAGGGAAGAAAAGGCTTTCCTGAGTATTTATATAGTATGATTTATGTTTCCCTTAAATGATCCTTTGGGGAACTTAGTTTATTCATTTTATCTCTGATGAGCTGCGAGTTAAACTTTGAGTGACTGCATGACCTCAAATCAGTAATTGCCGAGCACTGTGTGCAACGTACTAGGCTAAGTGCTGCCAGGAACAGAGTATATCACATGGTCCCTCTAAGAGCTTTCTGTTTAACTGAACATGTAATATAAACAGGTGACAAGTTAAATAGAGCATGAAGATTTTGTTTAAGCTTGAGAAGAGACGTTACAATATGGGGAAATTACTAAGAAGCCATTTTCTGAACTGCGTAGGGGCTGATGGAGCCAGGAAAAACAATAGAAGGAAAAGGGGCTGAGCCTCAGGTATGATAGACAAAGGGGTGAAACTGACTTTTGATCATATGCAACTTCTGGCACCTGTTCTCCTACTTCTCTACGTACCCAGGCTACTCCTAGGTTACCTGTAAGCTAACCTCCCCTGGAGAACCCGATGCCCCAAACACCTCCCTCAGCCTCCACCTCACACCCACCACCTCCCTTCCTTCACTGAGACCAAACTCAGCCAGAGGTTAGAAGACACCCGTCTGTGCAGATTCCCCCTAAACTGCAACAGAGAGCCGGCTCCACTCCACAAGCCCCTCCTCTGCAATTTACGAAGCAGCAGCAATACTCACCACCGCTAGTACAAGAAGAAGGGTCCACAGCCAGCACAGATAATTTGTGCCCTCTCTCAGTAAGCATTTTTCCAAAATATTCTATAAAGGTTGACTTCCCAGCACCAGGAGGCCCAGACAATCCTATGGTGGAGACAGACTTTGTAATTTAATGAAATAAATGAAATCAGCACCATGATGAGTTCTATTAAAATACCAGACTACCTTCTACTTCTCCTAATTTATTAAAACCATCGTTAATGTAGTTTAACACTTCCTAAAGCGGTAAACGAAAATCTACCTATTTATCTAGTCCCTGAAAAATAGGGATACAGGAGGGAGAGAAGTCAAAATTCCATATGTTCACCAGATTCACTTTTAAAAATTACAAAATGTGACTTGCCTTTTTAGTATAACGTAGAGCTTTTGGGGCAGACTTCATTGCCTATGTCGTTAATGTGCTGAATTTCTCCAACATCTGCCCACCTCTCATCATGATCAGTGATTATTCCACCCACCCCGATTCTGTCCATGCTATGTTCCCACTGGAAGAACAACTCATTACTCCAGAAATTCCCAGTGATTGAGAAAATAATTTTCTACTTATGAAATACAATTTTTTCATCTCACTCATAACTCAAAGAAAATAATATGAACTGAATCCTGAAAAAAAACTTTTTTTTTTAAATCTTAAGAAAGGCAGGGAATTCCCCTACTTGGAGAGTTAGCAGAGCATGGCAGGCAAGAACACAAACTCTGGAGCCAGCCGGCCAGTTCTATTTCTAGCTCTACCTCTTATGAGCTGTGTAATCTTGGGCAAGTCACGTAATCATTCTGTACCTGAGTATATTCTGCCATAAAATGGACATAAGAGCACCTATTTCTTCAGGTTATTGTGAGGATCAGATGAGTTAATTTTGCAATATGTTTAGAATAGCACATGGCATCAAGAGATATATATGTTCAATAAAATCTATAAAATATAAGCACTTAATTGTAACTACATAAAGTATGTATGGCATATGGTATGCTTGGCGACATACCACAATCTTCAGGGCAGGTCTCTGTCTTAATGGGTGCTGAATAAACATTTGTTGCTTTTATTTACCATGGTGATAAAACAACTGCAACAAAGACTCAGGTTTATCTGGCCTCATAAGGTCCGGATGGAAGAAGCAGAATAGTGCTGCAAATTTATGAGTTGCTAGTTATGTATGAGTTGCTGGTTAACTCTAGGTATTTCTGGACATTTTCTCTTCAAAGATTCTCTACAGCCTAATAAGTAAACACTCTGTCATAACTGGAATTTCTCTTTGGGAATTTGCTATTTTGTCCACAATACATAAAGAGTATTAACACCCAGCGCAGTACTCTCAGAAAGAGAGTCCCCGCAGTGAGGACAGAAGAATAAGGTGCGGGGGAAATGTGGACTAGTACAAACAGCAGTTGGTGAGCTCTTTTGGAAATTATCTTTAAAGCATTAGGCCCCATTACCCTAAAATCTAGGAGGTTTTAGGCCCCATACTGCAAATAAACTGAGACGTAAGTAATGCCAATCCACTTTTAAGTATATTTTCTCATTCCTCACACAATTTATGCACTTTGTCCACCATTTTAAGTTGTTTATAGTGCGAGGGTTGGTTGGAATCACCTAGTTTGCCATCATGAAAGGCGCTCGCTCCACCCAAAACTTGCTTAATTCCTTCTGGTCAATCACGTCTAGATTGTTCTATAATGCACAGCTTCGAAAATATAACAAGCTTATTTTCAATTACAGAAACAGGTCAACTGTTCAAGAGGTGAACACCTAATATTTTTAGACAGCAAATGAACACGGTGTCTCCTTTAAAAGGCATTTTGGTATTGAGCTGGCTGTGCTTAGTGCCAAGCCATTTCCAGAAACTCTAATAAACAAGTATCTGAGGGACCTCCCTGGTGGTGCAGTGGTTAAGAATCCACCTGCCAATGCAGGGGACACGGGTTCGTGCCCTGGTCCGGGAAGATCCCACATGCCGCGGAGCAACTAAGCCCGTGCGCCACAACTACTAAGCCTGCGCTCTAGGGCCCGCGAGCCACAACTACTGAGCCTGCATGCCACAACTACTGAGCCCGCGTGCCTAGAGCCCGTGCTCCACAAGAGAAGCCACCGCAATGAGAAGCCCGCGCACCGCAACGAAGAGGGGCCCCCGCTCGCCGCAACTAGAGAAAGCCCGCGCGCAGCAACAAAGACCCAACGCAGCCAAAAATAAATAAATAAATAAAATTTTTAAAAAAAAGTATCTGAAAGAAGTGAGACTTGCTTAGAGAAAAGACTAACGAAACACCTAAGAAGTAGAATTCTGAAATGTGATAAGGATAATTATGGTTGCTATAACCACAACGGCAGGGAAGTCACTTTAGACTATTAAGCAGAAGTTCTACTGAGAGAAAGGAGTCAACTGGTGAACAGTTCTTCCTGCGCACGTTTCTGTTGTGGGAGCCACAGTGAGATCCCTGCCAAAAGAGGAATCTCACCTTATTCTCTTAAAATACAGAGCCTTCGTTCAAATGGCCATTGCATTTCCCACCACGTAACAAGACTAATATTTACAAAGAAAAGGCATTCAAAATTCATTCCAAAATTCTGCAAGGACAAAAAAATCCTAAAAAAGCTATTTAGACTTATTTTAAAAGAGGAGAGAATTTAGAAAAATATTTACTGGACAAAAAACAAAACAAAAAACCCCCCAAAAAACGAAGACTGACCCACTCGAAATGCTAATGGTTTTCCTTTATTTAATTTCTCTTGTTCTCTGTGGCGGACTAACACTTTCTGAAGAAGCACCTGGGCTAGCTCTTTCTTCCTGTTGTGAGTTGATTCTATAAGAGTTATGGCCTCTGCCAAGCAGGCCCTTTGCCCTTGGATTAAACCAGTATAAAGCTCATCCACAAGCCTTTGTTCTTTATCAGAAAGTCCTTCTGTCTGTTCCTTTAAGGTTGTTTGTAGACATAATTTTCTTGTTAAACCATTTGACGGCAGCATCCGCTTTGCATGATGGAGTCCGAGAGAACTGAATGGCTGAGCACATGGGATTCCTGATCTGAGGTGAGTACTTGAGGGTAAGATGAAGTGGTAACGTCGGTAAAGTGTTCTTAAGAGGACTTTAAGGAAGTCCCGATGAGGATGTTGGAGCAGCATGGGAATATTCATTTTGCTTGTAACTGAAGAAATGGCTGGACGTTTTTTGGTTCAGTGCAATTCGTGACTCCCTAAGAGAAAGAAAAACATATTTTGCCAGTTCAACATGCAACTAATATACTGAAGTAGTAAAACTGCAAGCTTAGTGTTCTCCCTAGATTCTAAAACACACATAATCAGGGGTTTGGGTTGTACAGAGGCATGAAAGTTTCTTCCCAAACTTAAGAGCGAGGACTCCTTCCTTGCCCACAGTTAAGATTCAGAGTAACCCAAATCATGAAACTACCGCTCTGCTGTGAAGTCCAGTACACATTAAAATTTTCTTTTAAACAAAAAACAAACATACCAAAAAAAAAAAAAACCCAATAGAGTAGAAATTCTATGTCATGATTATTTTCTTCCGTCTACAAACCTTACATCCATCATAAGGATTTCCTCAGATCGAATATACACTATTCCGAAGCTCATTCAAAAGGTTAAAAAAAAATCCCTCTGATGCTGGCCTTTTATTCATCTCCATAAAAGAAAGGTGATTAGTAAGGCAGGCATTCAGGCAAAAGTTTAGATCCATGTATGTATTCAATAGACTCACCTGGCACACAGATATACACAAAGAATGGCCTAACATAAGCACACAAGCCACCACCACAAGCCTTCGTGTGAAATGAACCGTGAGGACTGTCTGGAACCTGATCCAGGGCATCTCAAAGTACGGTCAGAACCACCTTGGTGCGTATTAAAAATGCTTATCCCGGGGCCTCCCTGGTGGTGCAGTGGTTGAGAGTCCGCCTGCCGATGCGGGGGACAAGGGTTCGTGCTCCGGTCCGGGAAGATCCCACATGCCGCGGAGCGGCTGGGCCCCGTGAGCCATGGCCGCTGAGCCTGCGCGTCCAGAGCCTGTGCTCCGCAACGGGAGAGGCCACGACAGTGAGAGGCCCGCGTACCGAAAAAAAAAAAAAAATGCTTATCCCCAGCCCCAGGAATCAGAATCTCCGTGGGTAAGCACACTAAAGTTTGAGCCACCATGGGATTGGATGAGGACCCTTCACTTAGATTTACTGATCTTCTCCGCTTCACACTGTATTAGACAACGAAGGCTGACAGGGTCCACTGAGACTCAGGAGAGTGTGGAGGTTATGAGCCAGGGCCACTCTGCGTCTCTGCCACTTAAGCCATCGTGTCCTTGGGCAAGTTACTTAACGACTCTGTGCCTCAGCTTCCCCTTGAGTTAAGAGAATAGAGAAGAGACTAGGAAAGCTAGGACACAATGAGTTAATTCATATAAAGGGCTGGGAACAGTGCCTAGAACATAGTAAGAGCTCAATAAACATTAGCTCTTAATACTACGACACCAATTTATAAAACTTTAGTAAAAATTAGGTCATAGACCTAGCTTCCAGTGGCAAGCTAAAATTTACAGACAAACAATACATAACACCTACCAAGTCTGCATTTATGATTATTTGAAATTTCTGGTTTTCAAGTACCTTGTAGCACATGAAATAAATTACCTTGTGGCTCCCAAGTCCCTCTCTAAATTGTGTTCCAAGGCCAGCACAAAATTAAGTTTAGCTAAATAATGTTTTATTAGGAAAAAGAAGAAACATTTTAAGATTTTTTTATTGTTAGAAATATAACTGCTCATCATTTTACTGTTAGTCTTCTAAAAGGACAATTTATTTTAAAATGTGTAAAAATGTTTCTAAAAAACAATTTAAAAACATCCACTACCGCCCTTCACATAAACACACAAAAAGACATTTAAAACAAACAAAACAAAAAATTAAGAGGTGCTCTATTCTGGCTCTCTTTCGATACCACCTTTAAACACACTTCTTTCTCATACATACCACCACCACTGCCACCAGACTAGAAAGTGCACAGGCAAGGCTATTTTCTGAGCAGGTACTACCTTCCAGGTCCCAGGCTAGGTTGGTTACAAAAATAATAGCGATAATAGTGTCTTTGAGGGTGGTGACAGTGATATTTTATTATGTTCCAGTCACTGTACTATAAACTTCTGTATTAGTATTCTAAGGCCGCTGTAACAAATTAACCACAAACTCGGTGGATTAAAACAACAGAAATTTATCCTCTCATGGTTCTGGAGGCTGGAAGTCAGAAATCAATGTGTTAGCAGGATGTCACTCCCTCCAAAGGTTCTAGAAGGGGACTCTTCCCTGCAGGGGTCCTCAGCTCACGGCTGCAACACTCCAATCTCTGCCTGTCTTCACACGGCCTACTCTTTGTGTCTCTCCTCTGCGCAGCCATCTGTTGTTGAATTGGGACCATTCAGATAATCCAAGATGATCTCACCTCAAGATCCTTAACTTAATTACATCTGCAAAGACCCTTTTTCCAAATAAAGTCACATTCTCAAGTTCCAGGGATTAGCACGTGGACATATCTCTTTGGAGGCCACCACTCAATCCACTACACCTCCTTAGGTGGACAGCCTCCTTATCTTACCCTCAATGACGTAATCCCAGCACTTCAACAGCTCACAGAGTAATAAACACCGTGTCCAAAGAAAGAACAATGTGCTGTGGGAACAGACAAGGTTACAGAAACTAACTCTCCTGTGGGAGGAGAGGGTTCAAGTCATGGAGGAGACTATGTCAGGGCTGGGTCCGAAAGGTTAAGCAAAGCTGAAGAAGGATGAGGCAGGCCTTCTAGGCTGAGGACATACTTGTACAGAGGCCGAGTTGGGACCTGGTCTCTTCCCTGCCATATCAGAGAAGGCTGAGTAATTCAGTGAAGCAGAAACCTGGCATACATACATATGGAACTAGTGATAAAAAATGAAGCCCAATCAGGATGTAAACTGAGGCCAAGGAAGTAGATGTTGTCTTGGTGGAGGAGAAACAACAGAGATCTTCAGGGATGGCAGTGACCTAATCAACTTTGGTGTTTAGGAGATAACACTAGGAGCAGCGGCAAGAAGTCGACTGACCAGATCCTGGTAACATACAGCCCAGCCTAGCAAAGACCCAAAAGAGATGATGGGGACCTGGGCCAAGGCAAGGCATTAAGGGACGGAGAGGAGAAGCCAGATTCAAGACCCTCTTGTCCACATTAGGATCCCCAAGGCTTGCCATGGAGCCTGGCGCATTGCAATTGTTCAAAAAAATACTAATCTGAACTTATTTCATTTCCCACTTGCTTGTCACTCAAGAGTTTATGAACCATTTTCAAATACTTTATTTCACTTTATTCTCCCAGACAATTCCATGAGGACAGTTGGATAGTTATTACTATTCTCATTTAATAAAGGGAAACCAAGAGTGAGTTAGGTGACTACAGTCATAACCAGTGGTAGGGCCGGGACTCAAACCCAGGTCTTTTGACTCTCTGTGGCATTTTGTCTTAATAAATTGCTTTAGAATAAAGGAGAGCTCCTTTGGCTAAGAGGGAAATAGATATTAGTAACTCTGCCCCTCCCAAAGTGGAGCAAAGAATGGATTCGATTTAAAATATGCCCTTTTATTAATTCCAGATCTTGGTGTCAACTCTAGATTCTCGTATAAAAAGAGGAGTGGTGTCATGCCACATTAAGGGAACACCAAATAACCCTCCACATTTGAGTATGGAATGATTATGGCAGGCTGTTTATCTTCATTTTGTTTCTTTTTCTTTCTCTCTCTTTTTTCCCCCCTTAGGCCAAGATGAAAAATTAGTTTACATTTTCTGTGCAAACCTTATCAGTAGGAGATCCCAATAATGTATTAGGTGACAGAACAGACCAAATTTCTAAAACTTTTAAATGTTTTCTTGCTCCACAGGATAATTCACACCTGACAACGAAGTGCAAAACACAGTTAAACTCATTTTAACCACATCAACCAGATTTTAAAGGAGTTCGTAAATTTTTTAAAAGCCAATATAACTCTGCCTTGTATGAACACCTTTCTGCCCTTATTTACATGTCGCAGGCAGAAGAGACTAAGTCTACTGGAGTGGCAAAGTCATGCAGGTAGGGAGAAGGCCTTCCCACCCGCTCATGTAACTAAGCAGCTTTTCCTGCTTTCTCACGGAAGGAAATCTAATAACCTGGCCAATAATCAAATCAAACTGTTTTCGATGAATTTTCACAACTCTTAAGAGTATGGTTTCATCCTACAATTTTAAACTGAGCACTACCAAAATAAGAGAAATTTTGCAGCATTTACAACACACAGTAAGATACCTCAAAGCACTGCCATTCCTAATAAACCAGAATGTCAACTTATTAATATATAATGAAAAACATCAAGTAAGCAAAAATACTGAAATAGGTTGGGTAAGTGCATCCCCTTCCCTGAGAGAGGGTTCATATGGACAGCAGCATTTTAAGGTGCTAGTTTTCCACATTTGTTTTCCTCCAAAATATCTTTTATATCCATTCCATTCTCTCCACCATCATGTCCACATTACTATAATGATTTTCAAACTCGCATCAAAGTCCATAGGAAGAAATACACTTACATCAGTCAACACACAGGCATATATATAACTAAAATAAAAGTTTCATAAAACATTATTTAACCCTATTACATGTGATATCCTCTAATACTCTTTTCTATTTTTTCTTAAAATGCAGATTGCAATCTACCAATAGGCAGAAACTACTATAGCCATTTCTATGGTCGTTATTAGCCATCTTCCTTCCATACTACCACTTATCCTCATAAAATGTAAATCTGACGATATTACTCCACTGCTTAAAACACTTTAAAAGTTCCCTCTATCTTATCTTAAAAAAATTGTTTTCTATGATTTACCTGTTCATTCATTCAGCAACTATTTATTGAGAATCTACCATATGCTAGGCCCTCTGCTAAGGCCTTGGAATACACTCGTGTACAGGTCCAACATGGCTCCCAACACCATGAAGTTTACAATCCAGCCAAGACAGTCATTACATAAATCTTTCATACTCTTTATGAGTGCTCTTATCCACTTCTCCAACTTAACTCATCCCCCTCCTCCACTTTTACCATATTGCTGTAACTATTCTGATCTGCACAAAGGTTCCAGAAAAACCCACACTCTTTTATACATCTTGGTCATTGTCCGTGATGTTCCTTCTGATTGGAATGCCTTAATCATCTCACAAATTCCTCCTCAGCTGTCAAGACCAACTCAAGAGTCTCCTCCTCTATAGACAGTTCCCTGGCCTCCTTTCTATACCCCTTCAGTCAGCATTTCTATCTCCTGTCATCATGTACTGGTCACATCCCTCTATTACAGTGCTAATCACATCGTTTTGTGACCATTTTTTAAGATGTCAGTCTTGCCTAGACCGAGTTATCGTTGGATCCACAGCATAAGTTTATGGCTCACAGAATAAATGAATGAATGTATGCTATAGTTTTGTATGGGTCAGTAACTCCATTATGCTGATTACTCAGTTGATCAGTGTTTGAAAACTTACATTTTTCTAGATTTCACAGTATAAATATATTTTTAGGACTTCCTTCTTAAAATCTATTTCAGTATATGGATGTTTGCCTTCATTAAAAATTTGCTCGGCAGCAGCCAGTCTGACTTGGAATATTTGTCTTGAAATTGATCCAATGAATATTCTCAATTTCAATAACTACTCTGGCAAGAAAAAGCATCCAGGATTTCCAAAATCAATACATTAGGTCAGTGTCTGCGGCGCCGCACAGTTCATACAGGCGAAGCAGTGTTACACCATGTGTTTCTATTCCTCAGTGCTAATCACTTCTGATGTGAAGATAAGTTGTCAGATGCCATTAATCTGGTTACCATCTCCCATCATCCCCACAGGAGGCTTTACTTTCTTCTTTTCAAATAATTTCAGGAAATTTTGGTAGAACAGAATGACTTTTTAAACAAGCGGCTTTTAAATAGGTCGCTGTTATGGCAGAGTAATACAGAGCACATACTGAATTCGTGCAGGGAATATTCTAAAGTTCTCTGTCCACTTTACCTTTTATCACTCTGTTAAGACTATTTCCCAATTCCTACTTTTAGGTTTCAATCTTCTGAGGAAGTCTTGATTTTTCTAAATTCCATCACCAGTCAGTGTTCTGATTCATTTCCACTGCTACTACCCTAGTTCAAACCTGAACTAGTCTTAAGGGGCTCTGAGACTAGCTATGGGACCTGGGTAGTCTCTACTATTCTCCATATGAAAATATTAAGACTTACACATCAAGGTCAAAGTGAGTATGAAATGAAATTGCGTGCATGGGAGGGCCTGGCATCGACAGGTGTTCATCAACTTTAAGGAACCTTCTTTTCTCTCTTCCCCAGTCCTCCATCTTGGACGTCACAGCAAGACTCATACTGAACCATGAATGTGATCTCCTTACTAATCCACCTCAAATTCCTCCAATAGTTTCCCACACCCTAGGACAGTAGTTCTTAAAGTGTGCTCCCAAGACCAGTAGCATCTCCATCAACTGAGAGCTGGTAAGAAGGGGATATTCTCAAGCCCCACCCCAGACCTTCGGAATCAGGAACTCTGAAGGTGGAGGCCAAGCCTGCCACCGTCTCACAAGCCTGCCAGGTGATTCTGATGTAAGCTCAAATTTGAGAACCAGTGCCGGAGGATAAAGTCCAGTCTGGTATTGAAGGGTTTACCAAAGCAGTTTTCCTCCATTTACTGTACTTGCCTTCTCAGACCCCTCCTAAGGAGAGTTTACTAATTATCTTCCAAACCTGCTGTTCACTTTCCCCACTGAGATTTTACTCACTCGTTACATCTTTCCCCTCCATGACACCTCTCCATTTCAACCCAGCTTAAACCCCAGTTTTCTTAAATCCCTTCCTATCAGTTTCCAGGAATTTCTTGCTCTTTTGATTCCAATTATTTCTGAGTACTCAGGTGATAATCTGCAGATGTCACAAACTCCCTGTTCCTGGCCCACAGAGGGTGTGTGAGTGCATAACTGCAGGTTGCCAACAATATTAAAAATCAAGAAAAAGCATAAAGAGAGAGATTTTTGGCCTGTGTTGGAGAAAATCATATCTGTGTATGAGGGACCCACATTCCCACATGGCAACAATCAGCTGAGGGGCACTCATTTCAAGCATTCACCAGCACTTTCCATGCCAAATAAAGGATTTTCGATATCTTCAAATATCTCAAGCTGTAACTTACATTTCTTACCATTATATAACTTTTCACGTTTCTTTGTCTCTCCTAATAGAATACAGCCCTTAAAGGAACTGAACTGTCTGGTTCTTATTACCTTGCACACAAAACAATATGAAGTTTTTACTACATAAAAGAACATTCTGGACATTGTAGACCCCAAAATGATTAGGAATCTGCACAGGCTTTCGGGAAACTTTTGGTTTTCTACCAACTTGGAAAAGCTATAGTAGTGTTTGTTTTCCAAAGTATATGTATTACGGCACAACTCTCAAGATAATTAAATTTTTTCAGGTCATTCTGGCTTAGATTGTCTTTCATTTTCTAATGATAAAAACAAATTATCTGAATACAGTATGTCTGCTGGAAGAGACCTAGTCCGCGCCCGGCACAGTATTTGACAGAACCTAGATGCTGTTTGTGACTTTCAGTTTGAACCCTATTTTTTTTTGGCACCCTATTTTTATATCCTGGATTTTATTCCATAAAAGATGAGTTTCAATTTCCCTCTTTGGCAGTAGCTAACCTGGACTATTATGCCTTTTTCCGACCCATCCTCTGGTTAACCATTAGGTTTGGCAGCGGCAAGGGACCAGCCACCTTACCAAAGCTGCCTTACTGTGGCACAACGGTAAACTCACAAGCCTGTCCAAAATGATGAAAATTTTAAAACGCTGTTTAAAGAGAATTTCCTTTCTAAGGAGAAAACCAACCTCTGAACCCATTTTGCTAACGCCTGCTTGTCCACACACTTCCCGCACCCCCGACATTATCCAACTCAATAATAGTCTCTTCTTCCTTCCGCCTCCCCAAATCCTCCAGGGGGCGCCGCGACGCCGACATGGGCTCCCCGACGACCCGAGGCGGGAACCCCGCCGGACTCCGGACGCCGCGCGCAACCCCCAGCCCCTACTCACCCACCCGCGACCACGGAAGTACAGCCCAGCCCCGCCCCTCCCCGCCCCTTCCGCCGGGCCGATTCGCCCCGCCCCGCGCTCGCGGGCGCGCAGGCGCAGTGCCCACTGCCGGCGCGTGGGGCAAGAGGAGCGGCCGGGAACCGGGCGGCGGCGTGGGGTGTGGCCTGGGTCCCGGCGAGCTTGGCCGCGAGTTATGTGGCGGAGGGCCTGTGAGCCTTGAAGGCCTGCGGGCCTGCGGAGCGTAGGGAGGTCCGCGGGGCGCCGGGCAGCCGTCAAGGAAGTACAGCTGGGGAGGGCGCTTGACGGTGTTCACGCGTAGCTTTTGCTCTCCTCTAGCTCCAGATCGCCTCCGAAGGTCGAGGGTAATGTCCATCCTCTCCCGGGCTTGGCGCTCCGCGAAGCCCGGGAGATGGAGCCCGAGTCCAGCCCGGCCCCCGCATCCTGCGGCGGTCCAGAGACGCAGACCTCTTCCTAACTCTCCCTGGAAGCTAAGAAGTATGGGGTGAAGGGTGGGACATGGGGACGTTTGACAGTCTGGTGAAATTAAGGGAACTCAAACTCCGCAAAGCAATTTCCAACCTGTGGGAGTAAATGCTCAACGTTCTGTACAACTCAAACTTTTAAAGCATTGCGTGGTTTTAAACAGCGGAAGGGCTCGCAATTTTTTCTCTTAAAAGTTACCCATTTGTATTGATTAATATTTCGTGAGTTGTACCAAAAGCAAGGACTCACGCTCACCGCCCTTGGAAAGTCGTCAGAGGGGGAGAGGCTCTCGCCTGAAATGGAGGTGAAAACGAACATGCTTAATATTTGCTACCTCACTGCGGCTAAGAATGGTAACTCATTTTTTTTGAAAAGCTGTTGAATCCTGTAATAAGTAGAAAAACCTGAGTTTGAGTTCCAGGACTTTTAGGAAAAACTGATGTCTCCCAAATGTTTGCTGTAGTGTAATAAAGACAGCATCATAAGGCAATAGCAAAGGATCAAATTACAGCGAATAGAAATAGTCATAAATGGGGGCTATATTATAGTTAGTGCCTGGAGCCAAGCCCCCAGTCCCCACATATGATTTGCATAATTGCATGCATATGGGAGGGGTTAGGCATTCCTCAATTACTTGACATGAATTGGTTCTTACTGAATATGGAACAATAAAAAATGGATTAGTCTTCCTTAGCATCTTTATTATTATTATTTAGACTAAAAGACCGCCCACCACTTATATCCCAGAGTAATTGTAGACCCAAGAATAGTCAATTACAGAAAGTAAAACAGGCTAAGTGAAGCAGGGGGTCTGGTGGAAAGAACATGTAAGCACTCAGACCTGGTTTTAGGTCTCAGCTCCTGAACACAGTAAATAGAATAAGGATAGAACTTGAGAGAAGTTATTTCCTTTCTTTAAGCTTGGGGCTGCTCACCTGTACAATGTTTTGTGCGGTTTTTTTGGTATGTGTTAAACTTGATGAAAGCTGAGTTTGCATTACCTAAGGAAATGAAGTTTGTAATTTAAAAATGATTTACAATCCTTACCTGCTTTTTAACTTCAAACTCTTAAACATTTTTGTGCATTTCACTTTTTTTTTCCTTATCCAAGTGTTCTCTAAAGCATGTTCCTTGGAACATTAGTACTTTGCAAAAAGTTAATAGTTGCTTCGAGGAAAAAATTTCTAGCATCAATACTGAGGAAAGCACAAATTATTGGAAGTACACTGATGTAGCATTCTTGCCAAAACGTTTAGCCTGAATCTGTGAGGAAACACTCAGTTAAGTTAAGAATGTGATTTGTTTGGACTTTTCGATAATGTTCGATAATGTCAATATCATGAAAGACAACGGAAGACAGAAGGACTGATCTCCATTAATGGGCAACCATGATTTGGATAGGAATATGGATTTTTAAAAAGTTATATAGGACATTTTGTGGACAGTTGGGGAAATTTGAACATGGAAGCATAATAGATATGTTGTTAACTTAGATTTCTCAGGCATAATAATATTGTGATTATTAGAAAACGGCCTTTGTTCTTAGAAGATGCATGCTGAAGTATTTAGGGATGAGGTCATGATATCTGCAAACTGCTTTCACATAGTCCAGGCCAAAAAACAAAAAGTGTGTGTGCAGAGAGAAAATACGGCAGTGTGTTAATTGTGGTTCTTTCTTTCAGATTTTCTATAAGTTTGAAATTTTTTAAGATTAAAAAGTTGGGGAAAATGTAGCTAGCAATTATCTTTTAAAAATGTTTTGGTTATGCTTATTTATAGGAAAATGCAAAATTCATTTATATACTAGTTTTCTTATAATCTGTAGGATTATAAATCTTATAAACTGTAGGAAGTCATTTGAAAAATGATCTCATTCTTCAAGGCATGATATTGAATCTGTACACTGAGGTCCATTTGCCAACCAAAGTAATGTTAACGTGTATCTGCCCTGCTCCATGATGTGTATTCTGCATTAGAATTTTAGCATAAATGAATTCTTGTAATCTGTCAATTGTTTTGAAAATGTTCCTTTATTCCTACAAATATTTATTGAGTGACTACTATGTGCCAGGTGCTGTATTAGGTTCTGGAGATACAACTGTCATCAATACAGATAAAGCCCCTGGCCACATAGAGCTTATATTTAGGGAGCAAGAAAAAACCGAGTAAACAAGTAAATACATATCAAATGATTAAAAGTGCTATTTAGAATAATAAACTAGGGTTTAGGGGTTAGGGAGTGCCAGGTAAGGATGGGTATAGATTTTATAGAGGGTGCACAAAGAAGAAGGCCTCACTGAGAAGATGACGTTTGAGCAGAGACCTGAAGAAAGTGAGGAGTGAGTTGTGGATATCTAAGGAAAGCACATACTAAAAAAAGGGGACAGCTTGCTTGGCATACTTAAAAGATAGTAAGGAGACCAGAGTGAATGGGTGATAGAAGCAAGAGGTAGAGCAACAGGAGATGAGGTCAGAGAGGTAACCAAGGCCAGATTATGTAATATGATTTCAGGGTGCTTTATCTTCCTTTCATAAGAGAGTTATCATCTGAGATAGATGTAGTGCTGTAGTGCTAGAACATAGTAACTGTTAGCTGTTATTACCAGATTCATTTTCTATTACTGTTGTAAAAAAATTACCATAAACTTAGGGGTTTAAAAGATCACAAATATATTAAAGTTCTGCAGGTTTGAAGTCCCACACATGTCTCACTGGGGTAAAAGCAAGATGTCAGCTGACTGCTTCCTTTCCAGAGGCTCTAGGAGAGAATCTGTTGCTTTGCTTTTTCCCAATTCTAGAGGCCACTTACATTCCTTGGCTTGGGGCCCCTTTCTTCCATCTTCAAAGCCAGTAACATTGGTCAAAGCATTTTAAGGATGTGGGTGATTAAATTAGGCCCACCCAGCTCATCTGTCCATCTCAAGGTTCTTAGCCTCAACCACATCTTCAAAGTCCCTTTTTCCTCATAAGGTAATTTATTCACAGATTCTCATGATTAGGGTGAGGACACCTTTGGGAGGGGCCGTTCTGCCTGCCCCAGTCTGCCCTCTGCCTCCCAAAGATCCGCATCTGTTCACATGCAAAATCGATTCATCCCCTCTCTAAGTCCCTCAAATTTTCAACCCGTGACAGCTTCTCATCTAAATCTCAAAAATCCCAAGTATCATCTAAGTCTAAATTAGGTATAGGTGAGTATAATCCATGCTGGGGCAGATATCCCTTTCCATTGTAGATCTGTGAGACTAGGAAACAAGTTCTCAATGGTGGAGGAGGAGACACAGGAGAGCGGTTATAACCATTCCCATTCAGAAAGGGAGAGAGTGGAAGGAAAAAAGGAGTCCCAGGCCCATACGATTTCAAATCCAGTCTGGCAGTCTCCATTAAGTTTCAAGGCCTAGGAATAATCCTCTGTGGCTCCTGGTTCTGGTCTCTGGGCGCAAGGCTTCATCCTCTGGGCACTGAGTATTAGGGCATGGATGTCTTTGAGGGGCTACTATTCTGCCTATGACAATCAATGTTATCGTTAGATTTAGTTTTATTTTTTTTTACTAATCTTCATTTAGCAGTGGTTCTTCACATCTTAAGCTCCTCCACTAGCCCCAGTCAAGTGATGAATTACCTTTACAGAAATACACAGTCAGTACCTGAGGAGCTCACCATTTTAAGGAACTTTATTGTATATCATTTCATGGTAAATGCAAATATGCCATCTGATTTCTCTTAGATGGAAAAGAATACACTCCCATTTTAATACATAGATCATATTTTTATATGCAGTTAATTTATTCTAGAATTATTGATTTCTTTCAGGCCCAAAGGTACCTATATTATGTTTCATTTTATGCTATAGGCAAAGTTTTACAGCTTCTAAGGTCATAATTCTCGCCCTTTGAAGATGCTGGAAACCCATTTCTGCCTCCCAGCAGGTGGCACCAAATCAATACTTGATAAGGTGCTGTAAAATCACTGTAATTTTCTCATCCTGGTAAACATTTTTCAATGTTGCAGACTGGCTTTTCCTAGCTAGAAGAGCAAAAAGAATATTGCCAAATTATAAGAATTTATATCAGTTTATCAACTAGTTGGGACAGTATATTTATGTGACTAAATTTTCTTAGATTGTTATATTAATATTGTCCCTTGTCTCTCACAGAACCAAAAATCCATTTGTAAGCAATTTTGTTGGAATAATACTCAGTAATGCCCATATGTTATCTCCATAGATAAACAATACTAATTGTTTAGAGCCATTAATTGGCTGATATCCATCAACACAGCATAGTATTTTTAAATTTAT